GGAGAATATATATATATATATATATAGGAGAGATCCACTTATATTAATATAAGTCTTACATTTTTTTTACTTTTGAATCAAAATAATTAAGATTAAAATATTTTTATTTTGATCCAAATTAATCATAGATTTAATTTTAACTGAAAGATAAAAGAAGTGTAAGATTTATATTAATGTGCTAAGCTAGTTAACCGAATAAACATTGTCATATATATATATATATATATATATATATATATAAAAGTATCCAGCTCATTTGAGACAAATCAAAAGCTTTTTTATGCATATATTTAATCAAAATTTTAAACTTCATTACTAATAATATTTTCCTTAATTTTATAATGATATAACTCTGTTGTTTGTACTGATTACCGAAATCAAATTATACCGATAATTCAATATCAACATATACTTTGAATTAAAACAATAATTGCGCACCGAATACAGTTGTTTTCACTTAATTAGTTGAATTAAAGAATATCACACTGGGGTATATTTTATTGTTGAAATTTCTAAATCAACTACACCCTTAAATCTAAAGTTTAAAAAATCACACCTTATTATCGTCTTTTAATCATTTTATTAGGGTAACTTGAAGTTTAACTCAATTTATATAATTATTTTAAGAAAGACGTTTAACAAGTTTAAAATTCAAATCTTAGTATCTACAACCCATTTCTCTTTTAAAAATTATTTTATTGGGGGACAAAAGATCAATAACCCTGGCTTAAATTAGGGCGACATTAATTGCTGAAGATATAATTAAAAGAATTAGACCTTTAGTAGAGAAATAAAGAACTGGTTACCAAACCACAAGAAGTAAAATTAAAAACAAGTAAACTAATTTCTTAATTACAAAGTAGACTTTTGCAAAAGGTGTTGGTGCCCTTACTTGTTGGGATGATTTTGACTAATGCCTTACTTCCAAGAAAAACATGACAAAAATTCCGAAGAGAGGATTTTAAGTGTCGACATATTATAAAAATGAAGAAGAGGTGCGCAATACTTGAATTATAATCTTTTTGTAATTAAATTGCTAATGATATCTCTCGAAGTTGAATTTCAAACATTATTCAATAAATCAACCAGCCTTTCACACTCATTTTGGTAGAGTTTGATTCCACATTTTGACAAATTAATATGGGCTCCGAATGTTAAATATCTACATCAATCCTCAAATAAGATTGATTTTAAATTTATCTATTTTAAATTATTTATTCGACTTACAAATTTGGTTCAACTTGAGCCAATTTATTTTAAATAAGAATTTTTTGAGTTTAGTCTCGATCAACGGGATATTAAGTTATTAATGAAAAATATTATTTAATATAATTTTAATTCAAAATTATATTTAACAATTAAAATATTAAAATTTTAATATATATTTTTTAAAATTTGAGTTTCTTAATCTGACGGACTAGGCCAAGCTTTAAGGTAAGGCTTTTAGAAACACCTCTATTTGACTTGAATCATCAAATCTTATAATTAAGAGTAGCACTATATAAATATAGCTGCCATATAACTTATCATTCTTCTAATTAGTTCAGGTATATTTTCTTTAATTTGAAAGCCACTCTGAATACATATTTTTGTTGATTGAAAATGAGGAAAAAGGGTTTTTTTTTATGATAGATAATGGATTTTGAAATATATTATGCTTATATTTTTAGTTTTGGGGATTGTTTATATATATATATATATATATATATATCACATCACCCCCATAATGCAAAGGCAAAGTTGTTGTGAAGAAATAAAGCATATATATAAATATATATATGAATAATAAATAAATAGGATCAAAAAGAATGACAAAGGTAATTCAAAAAGCGACATTTGTCCCACAAATTGCCATTGTTTCACACATTTCACCTAACATATTACCTAAAACCTTTGGCCTTTAATAAGATTTCGAAAGTGCAGCCATCAATTTTCAAATTTTCAGCCATCAATTCATATGCAAAAAATAATAATAATAATAAAATTAAAAGTCAGGAATTAGATCTTGCCCACCTGGCTTACCAACATCAAAGATCTTGCCCGCAAGTAATAACAAAGTACCACAGCTAGCTCGTGATTTAATTTCTCTATTAATCAGTATTGTCGTTTCATTATTTTCTAGGAGCTACTTTTTGTCAAAACCTCTGAGGTTGCTTTCACTACTTCTACTGCCAAAATCATATATATACTTTATAATTAATAATCCTTAATTTGATCTGTTTGATAGGCTGCTTTTACTTTTACTGATGCTATATATATATATATATATATATATATATATACATGGAATTTTCACAACTTTTTTTATTGATAAAATTGCGTATGCACACAATAAATCAAAAAAAAAAAAACATTAGTTTTGAATATAGATATAGATTATAAATAAATGATCATGGAACTTGATATGGTAATAGAGTTTTTCTTTTATTTGAGAAATGAAATATTCAAAATTAAAAAAAAAAAAACATTATGCACTAATCATCGAATCAAGTCAAAATTTCGAGTGCAATATAAAAATACAGTTGAGATCCAAAATTTTCGAGGGCCAATTTGATTAGCTAGCTTAGGGGAAATGGTTTTTTTCCCCTCCTTTAATTCAGGATCAATAGGTCAATTTGCCTTTAGATAAATAGCCAATGTACCAGTTTCCAAGGAATGAGAGCCAAAAGAATTTCATCTGTCAAACCTAATCCATATAGGTCAACCAGTCTACAAAAAAAAAAAAAATAATACTTGGTAGATTATAAGTTAAACATGTCTGTTCTTTGTTTTCGTGAGGTGAAGTTCCATAATAACAGCTCCAACAACAACAATAATATAGATTATAGGTACAGTAATTTCGGCTTAAATTTAATTTACTTTTTTTTTTCTCAAGCTTAGGTGGTCTGTTTATGGACTTATGGTTGGATATTCCAGACATTTCCAAACAGGGAATTTACATATTAATTGTACATCCAAAAAGTCAAGTGAAGTTTTGTCAAAATTTGTTTTGTGTGCCAGCTGACTTGCACATTCTCAAGTGAAAATTACTGCATGGATTTGCTTTTTTCCTGGCTTAAAGTAATCCTTCCAACTTCAGTTAAAAATTAAGCTTGTCGACTTCGTTAATTTTGCAAACTCAGACTTATAATTTGTCATCAAACCAAGTTCATGAGGATTTAGTATAAGTAACAAGTGAACTGCATTAAAGTATTATACTAACCAAGTTGAACATATTGTACCCAAATAAATCATCAAACTTCCACTAAAAAATGAAATAAAAATAAGTTTTCAGTCTTTTATTAGATGTAATTAAGATTATAAATTTTTATTTTATTATAATTAGAACATTGATTGTATAAAATATTTAATTTAATTTTTTTGTTAAAATCTTCTTTGTTGGATGATGTAATTTACAGATAACATTTAATTAAAAAATTTTGAATGAGCTGTAATAATAATATCCGAGAGGATGTTATTTTAAGAATTCTGATAATTTAACTTTATTCATTCATTTCCAAGATTTAATGGGTATAATATAATAAAAATTCATAACTTTAATTTCATGTAATAAAAAGCAAGCACTTGTTTTCATTTGATATTATTTTAATAATATTATAAGATCGATCAATTCGGTTATTATTCCTAACATAATATATGTACGTGCAAGCAAATATTTTAGAAGATTTATAAACTCTAATAAGTAAATCATCAATTTTATATGTAAAAAAGCATGTACATAGTTATATACATCCATAATACATATAATTCTATATGTATTTATACATATATGTATATGGCACGCATGCTTGATCAACAACATTTATAATTTGATCAAAAGTACCAAGCTACTTTTTAAACTTTTTGCAATTAATTATAATGAATATGTGATTTCCCCATCTCATTAGCCAATAAACCCTTAGTCCAAATCCATTAAAAATTAAGTTGATTTGATTCAAGAGTTGGCTGGATTATACTTTAGTTGATCAACATCCTTTGAACTTTAATCTCCCCTCTCTTTTTTTTCCCTTGATTTTTTTTCCTATTATTTTTGGTGTGTGCTAGCTTTATAAACAAACTTTATTGCCAACTACTACCAAATTGTAATTCAATAATTGGTGTGATTCTGCATTCACCAATTTCCAAAGTAAAACAGGATCTAAAACACAAGTATAAATTTTTTTTTCACTGAAGTTTGGAAATAAAATACTGAAAAGAAGAAAACGAATTAAAAAGCAAAAGTGGTTGGGGAAAAAGTTGAATTTTTTTAGGAGGGTCCAGCTCTTAGTTTACTTTAACTTAGTGGAATCACATCATACGGGGACATTAAAATGAAAGTTGATGTGATCAATCAGGCTGTAAAAGCCATGCATTTTCCATATTTAATCAAGGTTTCTGGAGCTCCCAACCATTCATTTTTTTTCATTTGTCTCCTTCCTGGAAAAAATAAAACCAAAACAATGAAATGTCACACCAAATTGGCCGTTGCAATTTAGATCTTTTGCCTGCCAGCTATCTACGCCTCCCAAACCCTAAATTTAGGTTAAAAGCACATAATCAAAGACAGAAAAAAGGCCAAAACCACAAAATAAACCATATATATATGCTTAACATGTTTAAAACTTAATCAGTTAATCTTGAAGTATTTTTATTTGGCTCCAAAGGTTTGGTCATCATCTCCAAATTATAGTGAAACAAAACTTACATGAAAAGTAAAGAACATAAATTAAAGGAGGGCTTCAAACTTCAAAGGGCGCATAATTAACTAAATAAGCATAAAATTCCCTGTAGTGTACAGTACCTCCCATTGATATTTTCATATTACAATATAATTTTCATGTTCATGATAAACGTAAACAGTTTTTAACATAAAGATCAAAAGAAAAACTGAAAATTTCGTGGCTTTTTCTTATAATTTCTTTTTATTTGTTATATGAACAACAAACTTAAAGCCTCAAAAGGTCATTAACCATATCAACTCCAAACATGGAAATCATCAACAAAGCAAAGGTATAGTTCCCTTATAACTCAGCCATTCTCTCGTTTTGCTGCTTCAAATCCTTGTAAAACCTGTTTATGAAATCTTCAGCAGCCTTGTTTACGTAGCCATTGTCTTCATCGGGATCCCTTAAAGGGAAAGGAGAGTCCGTTATCCTAAGTTGCCTCACCAATGGAGTTTGTCCGAACCCTGGTAACATAGGGGAAGCAGCAACAACAGCGGCTTCCACTGTCATGTTGTTGCTGTCGTTGTTGTTAAGCATCTCCAAGACAATCTGAACGGCGTTCATGGTCGCCATGTCATCGTCGTGAGTAGGAGGCGCGTGGGTGCAAGCGAAGAAGTTGTGGTAGTAGTTGTTAATGCTGTTTTTCTTCTTGGTGGAGAGGTTGAAAGGGAAGATGTAGTTTGGGGTGTTGCTGCAGCTGAACTCGTACTCATGGGGTGCTGCTACGGCCGCTGGCATGAAGGATGATGAGACCTGGCGATCTTTATGGTGGTGGTGGTGGAACATGAGGTTGCCAATGGCTTTGGCGCTGGCGATTTTGCCACGTTTAAGCATCATGTTGAGATCAACCATCAACTTTCTCTTTGACGATATTCCTTTCCTCATCATGAAAAGAACTGCCCTTACTATGCTCCACACTCTTTTGGCCATCACTGGTAGATTTTGTTCCATTTTTTGCATTTGCTTTTAGTGTTTTTGTTGGTGACTTTTGAGAGAGAGAGAGAGAGAGAGACGAGAGGCAATTATTAGTTTCGGTTAGAGGGAGAGAGGGAGGGGAGGGCTATATAAAGGGGAAGAGAAGGCGGAGAAGAAAGGAAATTGAGAAGGAAAATTAATTAAAGTTAATATGTACTTGCTTTACTTACCTTATTTCTTGCTTCAATCATTTTTGGCAGGTGGTGATTAGGTGAGCTCAAGCTCATGTGAGCTTGGGATTATGAAAGTGCCAGCTAGCTGTCAGACCACTTATACGGAGTCAAGGTTGAGACCAGTTCAACTCAAAGACAATGGTTTCTTTTTTCTTGTTTTTTAAGGAATAAATAATAACAGAGAGTAATAATATAAATTTTCTACTCTCTATATAAACCAAAGCAAAACGACATCTCAAATGATAGAAAAATCTAGTGATTGAGTGGCAATTAGTAAGGATATATTTTGGAAAGGTACCATTTGCTTGTCACCAAGTCCATTTTCCCATCCTAATTTGCTTTCGCTTTTTATTTACTATTAATATTTCTAAAAAAATCAATTATTATTTATATCACACATAAATTTCGTAATTAATTATACAATCCTAAAAACATATGGTTGATAAAAGAAATATTATAAAAAATTCATAAAGTCAAGTAACCCAAAAAACATAAATCAAAATTTTAATTTTGAAACTTAATTTAAATGATTCATTCACTTCTTTTAACAGTTAAATTCTTTCAAGATTAAAGTTTAATTTTCAGCCTTTATAATTTTTTTATTCTTTAAGTTTCAATTTTTTTTAACAAAAACAAAAATTAAAAAATTTCACTAACCCTTAAAAGTTGCATACTAATCCATAAGAATTGACTCCATTAACACGCATAAATTTGATTTTTTCGACATAAGTAATTTTGAATTTGTATTTTATCAATAATTTCTCATTGTTAGTGCAAATATGGCACTTTGTCTTAACATGAAAACAAAACAATCTATTCATTCCAAATTTACAATACAGAAAAAATTCAAACACATAGCTAACACAATTTAATCAAGGGATGGAAGACAGAAATCGTATTGCTAGTACTTATACACCAAATAGTTAAATGCTGTTTGCACTATGTTGTATATTAGAATTTTTTTTGTTTAGGGTGGTATTTTTTTTGTTTTACCATGTGTTCATTTACATATTACATTAACTTTATAAATGGATGTTTAAATTGTTATTGATAACCAAATAAAATCACATGTAAAAAATAGTACAACAATGGTTTTTTTAGTCACGATGAAGAAATTGTTGGCAATGTTAAATCAATGTTCAGTAAAGGGTTTTACATATTGTTCACGTTTTACCAAATTGTTACTTTATATTTGGTCGTATGTAAGAGTTGAAAAGCTTACTTGTATTTCAAAAAGATGAATGAGTGAAAGCTGCAAAGAGAGTTTGAAATCTCCGTGGCCAGCGCATTAGAAAAAGCCAATTGTGAAGCAAGGTAGACGGCTGCAATGATATTTTTGGTTCCATTAATATCCCCAATTTTTGTATATGTACGATTTCAACTTTAGGCTAAACAAACATTGTCATCAGAAACTAGGAAGGGTATTTTTGAGAAAAGGATTATAAAAATCCGACGCTTTCCTTGGAATTTCAACCCACCCATGACTTTCAACGCCTTGAGGAGTTTCCTTAGCCTATAAACAAAGGCAAAGCTACAGCTTTTAAGAAAGCAAAGTTTCTCTCTTTTGACAAAATAAAAAACAAGCGGGTCAAGAGCACAATTTCAATCAGTTACTTCACTGAGAATTCCATTACTTGTTCCGTTTGTACTATGAATTAAAGGATTGTCGAAGAAAACGTGGGAGAATTTTGCACCATTTTTTTTTTTATTTGTTCGTATCGTCAAGAACGTACAAATACTGTAAGATTGTTCAATTTTTATTACTACTTTTTACAGCTCACTATGCACTTTTCCTTTTTCATTTCTTTTTTTGGGTTTTAAAATGAGAATTTCGATGCATGAATATTAGTAAGAACTAAGCCCATAAATCTGTTTCCATGGCATGATGCTTCTTTCTTTATGATATTCTTTATTGCTCTAAGTTTCTCTTTAATTTGATTTGATTATAGTCATTGATGGAGCAAAAGTTGTACGATTCCAATGGGCAACCTTGTAGAATAAAAAAATTCAAGTATTGCAGGAGGGTCCTTCAATTAGTTTTGCTTTTCGAAGTCGGATGCATTTCGTTTCCATGCCTAACGAACAACTCTAATTATAAGCATGAGATTTACTGGGAGGATAGAGGTGTTGGAGATGATGAGATAGATGGTGCAGTGTATCTGGAGGAAGGATTGAATGGACAGGAGAAAACAGCCATGGAGAATAGAGAATTGGAAGTTTTGCTACTGAGGAAGGCTATGGCTAAAGGGGATGATACTAAAGACACCCAAGTGACTGAACAAGATGAAAAACACTCCTCAGCTGATCATGAAGAGAAAACTGCATTGCTCACTAATGAAACACAAATTGGCCAAGAAAATAATATATTTCTTGATGAGAATGGGATCCCTCAAGACAACTTTGCGGTGAATTCAACTCCTTACCAACCTAAAACTGCTAATCGGAAAATTTTATCCAAGACAAGGTTTATCACAGGCTAGGGATAGTTTTAGGGGCATTAACAATGAGTTCCATATAGGCAACAGAAATTACCAGTCCAAAATGCTGATTTCCCATTCAATCCTAAATACAATCTTTGTATATTTAGCAAACAATAAATTTTAATATCTGCTAAAGACACTTGGAGATAAAGACATACAGTTCTTACCAAGTTAAAAAAAAAAGAGTTCAAACCTTGGAGGTGAAGATAATATTATTCTCAATTCTGTTTCCTTGTTTTTTTCCTTTTAATACCTTGTTGTAGAAGGCGGCATGACACACATTAGTTAAGTTGCTGCAAAATTTGAAACGGTAAGAATAAATAGTTTTAACTCATGATCAATAGGAGTCAATTACGTATTGCTGGACTCAATTTTTTTTTTTTTGAAGAATATCTCCTAACTAAACAAAATCTAGGGGCAAGAAACCAGAGTACTCTATTAGTTTGATATTTAATTGTGAATAATAATAGATGACAAGAAGATGGGAGAAAACAGCTGACAGAATCATATAGGTTTAGAATTTAAACTGCTGGAATTGTGTGCATGAAAAGGCAACAAGCCACATTTGGGATTAACTACTATTGACCAACAAACACATTGTTGATAAAAACAAAAAGTGCATTGTAGGCATGAAATTTAAATGGCTATCAAACTAATCCTAGTCTTATTTGCAAGTCAGCTTGGAGCACAAAATTAAACAGCTACTTACTTTCTAATCAATTTGGGATGACTAAGAAGTTACAATCTCGTCCGCAGATGTCTTCTTGACTTCTACCAACTTCTATAAGTGTACAACCACAGAGCATAGCAAGTCAAGTACCTCAGAATATCAGGGGCTTTGCCATCAATAATTTAACTTTCAAGCATCTCTGTACACATTCACTATATTGTAGCTGGTAAGCGCTACAAGTTATCCTCTATTTCATCTGGTAGAATTAACTTTCCAATGGCAGCCTGCCCATAGATAACAATTAGACAGATTGGTTAGTAACAGAATACCACATATGATACTTATTTAGTTGTAATAATAATATTATAATAGTTTGCCAATTGATATCGGTATGTGCTCTTTGATTGCCTTGCAAAAAAAGACCTTGAAGTCTCATCTTCCCAAGGAACGACCATGTCAGCGAGTCAGTCCAAAGGTTTCCACCAATGAGCACTCTTATGCCTTGCAGGGCTTCACATGATTACTCTATTTGCATCATTTAGAAAGAATGATATGCTCACAACAAATAGAACAAAAGGAGGAATCATACTTAATTCATTCATATCTGCACATGCTTAATAAATAATGATTAATAATATTGCAAGGATTAATAAAACACATTTCATAACTACTTACCAACTTGATAGGATATTTGGACATTTGGGCATAAATCAATCCAATGGAACCCTAGAAATAAAAGTTTTGAGCTATGAAACTAAAGAGATAAGAAGAAAATCTATTTCAGACAACTAGGTACCCTATTCCATTACATGTATAATATGTTATTTTGGTGATTAGAAGGTAAAATATGCTACATTAGTAGCCTTCTGCAATATGGTTGGACCAAAAAAAAGAAAAGATGAATAGGAACCTAACAGTGGGATGTGGTGTGGTTATTAAATATATCCAGGCTTTAAAAGGCAATAGTTTGATTAATTTTGTGAAAATGGTTGATATAATCTAAATTGCTATCCACATCAGTGGATGAAAAAAGGAAAGCAATCATTGGAGCTCTCCCTAAAACAACCGTTGTTGCAAATTAATGTGGTAGTCTCGTGGTAAGGAGGAAAGGAAAAGCTGCTTTGCAGAAACAAGCCACATCAATGTCTAAGAAAGAAGAGGTTGATGACTATTACCTGTATTTTAGCAACATCAACTATAGATGGTTTTAAGTCCAAAGCAATTCCAAAATGAAGCATTGACTTGTCGTACTTTTTATGTTGTTTATAAATTTCACCCATCAATGCATAAATGCTACTTTCACGAGGGTAGCACTCTTTAAGTTCCTCCAAAATTTCCAAAGCTTCATTCAACCTTCCAAGTGTCACCAGCATGTTTGCTTTGCTGTACTTTGGAAGTGGATTTTTATTGTCAGTGACAATAGCTTTCTCCATCATCACCAAAGCTTCCTCACTTCTCTGCAAAACGATTAAAAAAACAATTGTCAATCAGACAAACAATAGAGAAACAAGACTCCACTACCTTGGTCCTAATATCATTTCAACATTTCATATTTGCATTACAAGGTATGAAGTGGATAAACTTAAGACACCTGTTAGAGAAGATCCAGAAAAAGTTTAAACCTAGTCAGTGACAGAAAAGATGACACATATGACATAAGCAACATGATAGACCAAGAGGGGCAGCCTGTATCATGGACATACAATATTTACACATATCAAACATCTGTAAGATGCACATGCTGAACAACTGTTCATCAACAAGAACAGGTTGGGGCCTATGAGTCCTAAGGTAGACACAAAATCATGGATAGGTATAGAAATGATAACATAGAAGTGGCCAAACCTTTAATGCTTCTAAAGTGGTTCCCAAATAGTACATGATAACTGACGAGAAAGGATTTATCCGATAAGCCTGGCGAAAATGGTGCTCTGCAAATTCAATTTTCTCTTGGCGGAGATAGATCATCCCAAGACCATACCAAGACTTATAATGTCTTGCATCTACATGAAGAGCCTTCTGGTAGCACTCCACTGCATTTCCATAGTCCTCTATAATAACATTCCTGCAACAAAATCACATGATGGGATCCCTTTTCTTTTTCTTTTCTTCAAGTCATTCAATTTATAAGACGAGTATAAAGAAAACATTCTCAAGTGTAAGATCATACTCATGACCAGAGAGAGTGTGCGCATATGGAAATCTTGAATTTAGCTGCACAGCTCGCTGGAAACTTTTGAGTGCAGTTTCATGATCCTTCTGGAAACTATAGCAGTTTCCAATAGCACACCTGCAATAGGCATTCCATAATTAAAACCATCATAAATGACAAAATCATTGATAAAGAGTAATTTAGGAATGTATGAATCCAACTGCAATATTGACCAAAAAAAAGCATTTGCGATATACTTCTTTGTAGTCCAATGAACAAATTTCTGGTCCTTGTTACCTCCCCCCCCCCCCCTCCCCAAAACAAAAAGATCGCTGCAACATGTTTTGTTGACTGTAGATAATATCATGAACAAGAAAATTTACGTTCAAACAAGCTAGAAGTGTTACATTCTTCAACTGCAAAAAAAAAAAAAAAATGAATGGAAGAAATATCAAATACTACATGAAATGCCTCCCCCATGCCCCTCCTTTTTGGCCCCTCTAAATAAACAAAGAATATTACCATGCAGCATATATTCCCCCACCCAAAAGAGAAGAAAAGGTATAACACAAGGATTCCAAAAACAATAAAAAACAATAGTTAACTGCTTACAGACTTGCATACTGTCATTATAAGCCATTGGACAGTTTTTGTTGTTTTTCAGGAAAGATTAGATGAAATAACATTGCTATGTGCTGATTGCACTATGAGCCAAACGTAATTGCCTTGGGAGTAAATTACAAACTAAAACAGCAGAAAAACACTTAGCTCAAAACATGCATGGGATTAAAATGCCATACTTTTAACTGTTTCAGAGCTATATTATAGAGGTCTACCAAAGTTACCAGGCTTGTGGAGCAAAACGATCAATTGATATCAACTCCTGAGCTAGGTATTTCAATTTCATATCTTCCTTCATAAGCTGCCAAAAAAAAAAGAGCAACATGTGATAAATATTAAAAAAATTAAAAAAAAGTAACCGCATATCATCTAATTTTTTCTGCCCTGCAAACAGAGCTCATAACACTGTGTTTGGGAGAAAGTATTTTTTATCTAATGGCCAGACTACACGAAGTCATTTCCCATATTCTAGGTTAGCCATTAGTAAGTCAATTTTCCATCCTTGAAATAGATTGCAGAAAACATGAACAGTTTCTCCAAAGAAACAGCTTAAGGCCCAATACTTTCCATGAAATCAAGTTCAAATAAAGTAGAGGGAATTGGTTTTGTATTCAAATGGTTTCCTATAAATCAAAGATAGCCTGAAGGGTTTCACATCCCATAAAATTCTCTTCCCTCCACAAATCTTGTTAATTGGAACTTTCTCCCCCTTCATGAAATCAAATAAAGTCCTCGTGGTTCAGAACAATTTATATCAAGCATTAAATCCTGTAGAGGGAATAATGGGCCAATAACTGAAAAATGTCTAGCAAGAGACAGACTATAGCCAGATTAAAGATTACACAAGACTTGACTCAGCACTTCGGAAAGATAAAAACTTAGCAAAAGAAAAGGTTTCAGAAGCAGAATGAAATATAAAGTAGCAACATAGAGCAGTTTCTTACTAGATTAGAAGGCAACAAGTAAAGGATTTCAAATTGCATATAAAATTGAATCAATTTACATGTGAATATACACATTGAAGTGGCTATTTATGAATAACCTATCCCAAAGCTCAGACAAGGGCAAAGATAACTCACATAAAGAACTGTTGAGTACACATCCATCCCTTCCAGATTGTAAGGAGATATTTGGCGTGCAAGACTAAAGGCGTAATCAGCATTTAAGTAATCTACTAGCTCAAAATATGCTTTCCCAACCTGCATAAAAGATAATTCATTGTCTCAAAAACTTGAAACCCTGAATGGGATAAACCAAATTGTTACTAAAAATCTTTAATTTTTCTTTTTAAACCTTGTCGTCTTATATCATAAACAAAGGGCAAAGCTGCCTATGAACAATTGTTTCCTCAAGCACTTCTGATATACCTTTTGAAATAAAATAATCTAAATTCTAAGCAAAAAGGATGGTAGGAAACCAAAATAAAAAATAAAAAGAAATTTTCTGTTTATCATTCTCAAAGAATTAAAATACTTATTACTTTCTTTCAAAAGCCAGCAGAAAGAAACAAATTTATAGATTCAGAAAACAGACAGCTCAGGAACAACTCAATCACCTGGGAAAGAACCCACCCTGTATTGTACTGCTTTGATGAGAGCTTTTGATAGACATTTAAAGCTTCCTGTAACATCAATAAGAAACTATCCACAATAATTTTTTTTCTTTAGTATGGAAAAATATGCACTCAAGCTCACTACTTAGGATAATAGAAGAACCTTTTTCAATTGACAGAGCAATACCTGACATCTATACTCACACAAATGCCTATAGCCCTCCCCAAGAATTCTCAGGAGGTTTATTGTATCTGAGATACCAGATTTGATTTTTGAACTGTTTGAGATAAAACTTCTCAGTTGTGTATTTACTGTCTCATCTTGAACGGATTTAACATCAGCTGATGAAGATAAACTCGAGGAAGTTGCTCTGAATGCTGATACAGCATCATCATAAGTTTCCAGCAATTTTCCTACTATTGACATCAGAGTTTACGAATTTAAAAATGCAGTACAATGCAAATATAAACAAGTTGGAAACAGGAATATTTTGTGACCTTATGCAACATATTAGTTTCAATTGATAATTACGCTACAGCGAAGGGACTGGGAAGAACCAGGCCAATAAACCAGAAGCAGAAGAAAAATAAGAGAATTAAATGGATATTAACCTCACGAGAACTGACAACATTGAAACATGATAAAATCTCTTCTTTAATAAATGTGTAAAAACACATAAAACTTCTCTATCAAAGGCTTTATCACTTAATAATACAGTTCTTTTCTTTTATTCTTTAGAATGTTGACAGAAGCTTCTCCAGCATGCTTGCTCTTTCCGGTTCCTTCACTTTGGATAAACTTAAAAGAGAAAAGGAAAATTGAAGAAAGTCCAATTATAATCAAAATGGTAGGTAGGTATAGCACATGATTAAGCCGGCAGACTTGTGATCTTTTTCATTACTGGAGCTACTACTAAGGTGTTTTCTTTCTAATTCAGTTCTTCATCTGCTTTGGAATTTCAGCTTGTCAGTGTCTTTTTCCCCTTTTGACAAGCAACCCTACCTTTTAATCATTGAGAACTAATTAAAGCATGCTTGAGGTTTCTTTGAGGTAAATTTTCTTTCAGGGAAAACTGATGGAAAAAAAAAAAAAAAAAAGAACAGAAAAACTAAAAGTTGTCTCAAAGCCTGCCTTGCCCAACTATAGCTTATGGCAATAATATATGTCTATATCTCATATCCAACAAGAACTCTTTGATATGGGGCCTAAAGCATGAATAATGTTAGTAAAGCAGAGCTTTCTCTGAAACGAAGTGCAGGGATTTCAGAGCACTCTTCTTCTGTCTTTCGTCTTTTGCCTAATTGCATCCCAACAAGTAAGACCAAATTTTCTATCATTTATTTCCAGTAATTTTAAAGAAAAAGATATCAAACAAGTTTAATAGATTCATAATGCATGCAAATAAATCAAAAGCTAAAGAAAAACCAATATCAGATAGGATCTCCATCTCTAATCAACCATGATTTGATGTCCTGAAGTTCAATCTGTCTAACATATAAGATAAAAACAATTCATGACCTTACATTAATAAACCAAATATTTGTTAAAAAGGCACAGAATGTAAACTGACAAAGGATATACAGGTTACATAATTACCTTCCTCAAGATTTTGAAATTGGCCTTTACAAACTGTTGAATAGCAAGTCCCAGAATTCAATTTAATTGAAGCACGCAAATTGTTTGCTTTATTTTCTGATCCTTGTGTCGAGTTGAAGCTTCTCTGAGCCGCAGCTAATCTTGCACTTCGACGGCGTCCTGAATCGAAAAATAAACTGCCACGAATTTTCAGAATCATAACAGAAGAGGCAGAACGATTTAGAAAAAAATTTTGAGTGAATAAGGATGATGCATCTTGGCAATGCTACATGATACTACAAAATACAGACATGAAAATAAAAAGGATATCCCAAGCAAGCAACAGAAATGTTATTGTGAGAGAAATTAAAAAAAAAAAGATTAAACTGATGAACAAAGAAAAGAGAAAGAAAAAGTCAACACCAGAGCAGCCTAAAGTAGAATCTAAATGTTAAAACACTAAGAAAATTGCTAAAAAAATTACAAAGACAATTGACGATTCCATTCCTCCTACTTTAGTATGATGATGGAAGAGTACAATTAATGGGGTAATCTGAAGCTATATGAAGTTGCAAAACAAAAACAGTGTTCAACAATCAAGCCTGCTGTCACTTACCCCTTGTTCCAAGTTCAAACTCAACCAAATATATAAATAGAATAAAATAAAATATAAGACTTCAAAGAACACAAAAAACCAGCTCAACATTCTGGGTCCATGAATGTGATATATATTAGAAAAAGAAAAGGAAAAATAATTAGCATCTGAATGAAAATCAGACAAGGAGAATAGAGGGTTAAAAAAATATAGTAAGCTTCTCAATTACAACGGGTTCAAGGGATCCATGGAAAGTAACATATGGCCTTACAGCGTAGGGATAAAGAGCCCTTTCATCACATCTGACAAAACAGTCCACACGGCAGCGCCCAGTAGCCAGATCATTTTCAGTTTATACATCTGTCCTAATTCAAAACAAGCTGAAAGCAAAACCCCTATCTAACCCATACATACAAAACATACATTCTCTTCTTAGATCTTTATTTATCAAATATCTGAATGGATTTGAAGTAATTTAAAGGTTTCTCAAACCAGACAAAAAGGTTTTGATGTCAAAAGGGCAATCCTATATGTGTGGCAAAAAGGAAAGGTGACTCTTTCATGTTAAGGGCAATCCTGGGTATCTAGATTTTATTCTTCATAAGCCTTTCTGGGAATTCTCCATTGACAAAATGACATATAGTAATAATTAATAAATTATACTAGATAACTTTTGCATTGCAAGCATAGAGGGAGAGAGGCAACTCCTCTTGACGAATGTAGGTATGTCCATGTTTTTATCAAAAAAAAAAATGGCAATTACTATTAAAAGTAAAGAAGGCAACAGAAACATACAGTCATACATAAATATATGCAAATACAACCTGTGCTGATTCATTTTCACGAACAAATTCTCTTCGAGCTTGAGTACTGGATCGTAGAGAAACTTCATTTTGACAAAATCGTATGTTTCTAATTAGAGGCGGTGGAGCCATATCTGAAAGCTTAAGAGTGAAAAATATAGAGCTTAGAAACAGAAAACCAGCACGATAACATTAGATTAAAACTTCATTTGGAAGTGACAGAACAGTAATCATGAAGCAAGAACATAAAACTGTGATTGATAGTCTCTTCTTTTCTTTTTTTAGTTTTCTTTTGGATTAGGGGGTGAACTAAAATGTATTTACAGCATCCAAGGAGGGATCTTTGAGTGGTGAAATGTAGGGCTCACTTATAAACACAATTAATATTTAAGATATATCATATGTGAAATGGAAAGTAAGTCTAGGCAACCAATGCCACATGCTCAGAGAGAAAATTCACACAAGGAAACAGAGCTTCCATTTACAGCCATTACTTTTCACATCACACCTCAGTACCCACCCCCCCCCCCCCCCCAAAAAAAAAATACACACACCCAACACTGATACAGGAAACGAACATATCCATATGAAAGTGTGAACATAACTGATCCTGCAAAGCCTAAGGCCTCTATTACTCATTCATCTATTATTAACAACTATACTTGATTCTAAGGATTTAAATAAATGCATCAGAGTTCAGGTAACTAGATCATTATTTCATATTTGAATCAGCCAAAGCCTCTCCCAACATGCAGTTTGAATGAGTAGATAAATGCTCCCATCTGCTTTACATACAGCGTAGCCGTGTAAGTGATACAACTTTGAAACTCTTAATTCAATAATTCCTAACATCTGTAACTGATAAATGCTTTTTGCGGGCCAATTTCTCTGCTAAATATTGCTAATATCTGTTTTAATTTTTAAAATGTTTTTCATTTTACTTATAATGTCTCATTTTGAAAATTATGGTTATAAATACCCAGAAAAAATGATTCGCATGCTTCAAAAACATTCAGCATAATGTTGTTATATACAATGACAAAAACTAGAATTGTATTTGAAGAATTGGTGCCTCCAAGAGGAAGACAATCTAAAAATAGTCCTTAAACCTGAATACTGCCATACCATCTAAGTGAATAAGCAGACCATGACAAGGTTGTTTGCCCAGAATATACTCATCAGATAAAATTACACAAAAGATGCAGTAACTTAAGCTAAGCAAATATACATATGCATGTAAAAGCTATACACCAAATGCTAAAGCATATACAAGTTAGAGCTAGTTCAGGGAGATGAAATAAGTATTTCACAGAAATTAAAATAGACTCCTATCTAATTACCCAAAAATGACTTACTTGTGTAAGCACAGGGGAAGGAGTCCTGAAAAATGATGAATTGCAACAGCTGTTTGTTATTTGCCCAACAGGTCCAGTTAAATTAGGTCCTCCATGATTATTCAGACATATATTTCTAATGTTGTTCCCTTCCATTTGTTGTAAATGGCTCAGACTCAAATCTTCTAAGCCAAAGGCTTGAGAAGAATCCAAGCTTTGATCACTATTGGCTATTTGCAAATAACTTGATGCATTACCTAGATAATGCTCTTGAACATAATGAATAGCCACATCACCGAAACAAACAGCAGCTTCCTCTGCCTCACCTGAAATAATACATCTAAGCCTTGGCAACAATTTGCTAATTGATGATTATGCAGCTACATGCCTATGACTGATGGTAAAAATTAATTTTAACACTATGCAAACATTGTGCATTACATGTTATGATAACCAACCTTTAAAAAGTTCAACAAAAAATGTTCAGCAGACATTTAGGAAAAAGAAGAAACAAGAATGAAAGAATATAATATTATCTAGATCAATCTGTTCCAAAGCATTCCCCAATTCAGAATTTTTGGAGTAAAAAAAACCAATCAACCAAGATCAATCCACTTGAGGGACATTATATTTGTTTAACCATAAAAGGATTACCTCACAAATTTCACAAGTGCACAATTCTCCAAAGATTCCCTCACAATGCCCCAAATTCTCCCTTCACCTTTTGGTGAAGTGATAGCTTCTCTAGCCCAAGGTTGAATGCAAAAGAGCAAACTTTAAAACCCAAATCTTATATTATATAGACTAGGGTAGAGCATTCAGTGTGGTATGCTTTTGAGATATCTCCATTTTTGCAAACTAGTGTAGCTTATTAGACACATCAACACGGAATAACAAATTTTACCAAAAAGGTTAAAGATCCCTTATCAAAGTCTAACTTCTTACATGTTTGACAATAAATCACCATCACACACAACAAAACCATTGAGCAATATTTCTCAACTTTTATTATATTATGTTGTCTTAGCCCTTTGTACAATAAATTTAATTTTTTTTCTTGTATCACCACTAAAATCCTTAACCAACTCATTTGTAAACATAAACTTCAAAGGTATTCATTTCATATTATAAAATTAAAACATTCCAGAAACACTATTGTTAGCCCTTTGCCCATGAACGAGAGTTGGGAAGACATATGCAACATTGAATGTAATGTAACGAAAATTTGAAACATTCAACAAATAAAACAACAGCATTCTTTTGTTTATTTTTTCTCCAGACAAAACTTTGCAAAGGTAATTATTCTTTTTCTTATTCTTCTAAGAGAATTATTTCTTATAGTACCAAAAAAAAAAAAAGAATGTCAAAGTTTAACATTATGTAATCTTTCTGAGTTAATCTCAATAAAAATCACTGACCTAGTATACAAAGTTCCTCATATGCTGCCCAAAACAATGGATCAATTGACAAAGCCTTTCTAAAGTGTTCAACTGAACTTTTCATCCTATTGGTGTCCCTGTGGAAAAATACCAGAACAAAGATAAGGGAGTGAAGGGAGAGAAAGACAAAAAGAGAATATAGCAAGACAGCACAAGTAACATCCTGCTAAAAGTGAAGGAAAGCATCACATATTAATTAATCTATGCCAATTCTCCATGGAAAACAATGCCTCTCTCAAACTGCTTAGACTCAGCATGATTCATGGCTAACATCCACATTAGTTTTGTACACTAATATCATCTACATTAAGCTTTGTTTGCAAGCGCACAAACATAAAAAGCAAGTGGCAGTAAAAAAAAAAAAACCCTTCTGATTTCAGGGTTACATTCAACCAAAAATTGTACAGTCAAGAAAAGCTAGTAAACTATTGAAGGAGTCCATCCACTACATCGAATCCTAGGTCTAAAATATCAATACCATTATTAAGCTCGGAAAAATTAAAAGAAACAATCCAACAAAGAACCCCAGATTTTTAATGAAATATAAAATTTAAAAAGCAAGTGGCAGAAACCTATGTATAATGCCGAGAAGATATTGCACAGCCGCACCATTAGTAACCTACATGCATGTAACAACAATTGTGAGCATGAAATTTCATCCAAGAAGCAAATGCCCCAACCCAACCTTTTCATTATTATGACTACTCCACAGCCAAAAGGCGATCACATACATGAGCACAGAGCTCTTCAATAGGCAGCAATGCAGTTTCGGCTTCACTAAAGAGATCCATCTCTAAGCACGCGACCGCAAACAAGTAACGAGACTGAGCCATTTGCATACCTTCAAATCATAGGCCAAACAAACACAAATCAATCAAAAAATACAGCACCATTCTCCAACGCGGGTGCGAGAGAGAGAGAATCAAACGAACACGTTAAAAAAAAAGAAAAAAGTAGTACCTTTAAGAACATGATATGCAGAGTGAGGTTGATTGTTATTCAAGTAACATCTAGCCAATAATTGTAAATTCACCTACATTAAAAAAAAAAAAAAACCGATTTCAAAGTTTTAATTCAAGCCCCAGGAAAAATTGATAACGTAAATCAAGCAGTTTAAAATTTAGATTAAAAAAAAAAAGGAAATGAATTTGATTAATGAAATTAGAGAAGAAACCTCGGAAGGAAACTCGGCGTAGAGGCGTTCGCAGAGAAAAATGGCGTTTCGTCTCATGTATTGCTTCAGGCTTTTCTCTACGTAATTCGCCAACAGTGCTTCCATTTCTCTCTCTCACACACACACACAGACGCTGGGGGATTTTATTACCTTGGCCTGCGTTTTTTGATCCTACCTGAGACTAGACCATGAGTTGGATACCCGAGGCGGGGCTTTTTTTTTCTTTTCTTTTAATAATTCTTTTGAGGAAAAAACGTACGTGTCAAGAAATTTCAAGCGTGTGAGTTATAGAAGGTGGGCTGATCTATTAATGGATTGCTGGTTTTCATTTTTTATTGGACTTGGCCTGGTGGTTAACCCCTTCCCACCTCCCTCAAATTCAAAGCCCAGTTCCTGCTTATACAGGACCTTGGGGCTTTGCATTTTATTTATTTATGAAATCATGTTTCATATATTATTTAATATAATATAACAAGGTATAAGGTTGATAAATTGTGCTGACACATAGCTTGTCTATTCAACACAGGAAATTCCTTAAAATTTTGCACTTTAGCAAATTCAAAAAAATAATAAAATCTTTTATATAAAAAAATTGCCTAAACTTGTTCAAGTTACCATATTCAGAATATTATAGAAGATTAATTAGATTTTTTAAATTACTTTAAATATATATAAATTAAAAATATTTAAAAATATATATTGGTAAAAATATTAAAATTTCATCTATTTATCTCTTATTAACTATTTTAAATTTTGGATATAATATACAATGCAAAAGAACATTTTCAACTGTATTTAGTATCAGCACTACAAATATAATTCTGTTGACATCAAATTCTTTGATGTTAACCTTATATTTATAAATTTTTTAAAATACTTTTATTAGTTGATGATATTTAATGTCCTATTGTTTGAGATATTTGATGCCACCAAATTATTAAGTCTATATAACTTTTATGTAAAGGAAAATTCTACCTATGTTCCCCAACATTTTATTTTGATTTCACTTTACTTCTTAATTCTTAATTATTTATTTTGAACATATATATTTTGAAAATGATTCAATTTTTTTGTCAAATTGTTCCTTTAAAATTGTAACATTTATTAAAATGATATTATATTACATCTAATTTTTTATAATATTATATTCAAGTTTGGGTCTATTTCTTATTAATTAGTTTTAAATTATATACTTAATATGGTATCAAAATTATAATTTTGTTCTATTACTCTTTTCAAATTTGTCATGTGAAATATTTCTTTCATTTTTATCTACATATAATAAAGTTTATTAAAATGATGTTATCTTATATTTAATAAATATTTAATTTTTTATAATCTTATATTTAAATTAAATTCTTCCACTTACTATCAATTAATTTTAAATTTAATGTTTAGTCTAACTCCACATTATAAATTTGTTTAAATCCAAAATTTTATAATACACGTAAAACTCAACATATGCATATATGGCTAGCTATGTATAATCGTGCAAACTCTCAACCTTCAAAAACCGTGGTTTATTCAAAGTCCAAAACCAAACTCACCCATCGCTATTAGCCTAACTATATAATGAACAGTAAAAGTGTTTCCAAAGTAGCCAGGCCAGTTGAAACCCACAAACCCAAAGGTAATTTCATTTTCATAACTTTTTTTTTCAAGATAAATGTGAATTAATTTATCATATTGCTTTAATTTTTCTTTATGCCAAAACAGAAAAACCTAACCTCAACTACCTTTCTATCTTCTCTCTGTTTCTCGTGCGTTCTCGTGATGCTCTCAGGTTCTTATGGTTTTAGAGATTGATTCATAAAATGAACACGTCCTTTCGTTTAATGTTGTTGTCTCCAAAAATGAAAAGGTGGTTGGGCTAAGGTGCATGTGGCTAGTTTAGGCTCTCACGTGAATTCCCAACTCTTTGTATTCTTTTAGAGACAAATTATTTCATTTACATTTTCTAAAGTTGATTAATTAAAGACAAAAAAATAAAAAATCATATCAACAAACTAATAAATAATGTGATACATGTGCTACAAGGTTTCACCATCTATTGTTCATTAGTTTTCATTTTCTTCGTCTTACTAATTTGTAACCTAAACGATACACAAATTATCTTTATTTATTAATTAAAATATTTTAACTTTGTGAAATTATTAATTAAAATTTATTACAATAAATAAATTGAAAAAAACTATATTAAAATATTTGTCAACAATTAAACATCAATTCACATTAAAATATTTATGTAACTAATAGATAAAAAAAATTACTTTGGATCCAAAAGAAATTTCTTTGGAATATAGTAGATTCTCATTTTTAAATCTATGTGATTCCAAAACTAATAATTAATGTAAAAGACCTACTCAAGTTACAAAAATATGTAAAAACCTATTTAAGTTACAAAATAATAAAAAATAATCTAGAAATTCTTGAATTGAAAAATATTTATTGACTAAGCAAAACTTATTATCATTACCTTCACGAAAAGTAATATTTTGTGGCTTAATATTCATATGTATAATTCATCTTATCACTTTTTTTATTTGAGAAAAAATGTGTTAATATAAAAGTTAAAAAAATAAATATTTAAAAATTTAAATATAGAATTAATAATAATGATAATAATTCTCTTTACTCTATTTTTTTTCTCACTTTTCATTTAATAAAATATTATAATAAAAATAACCTTGCATGTTAAAAACCATTATCGAGAAGTTTCATATGTCAAAAAAATAAGTAAAAAAGATTAATGACTAACTAATTATTTGGCATCTGAGTAGAATCTTCGCATAGAGTAGGATTTTTATAAAGTTAAACTCAATACAAAATATAAAAAATCTAATGAATGAAATGCATATATATTATCTATAAATTATATAAAACCAATTTCTTTATTCAATGATTGTTTCTTGGCATAAAAAAATATATACCAATAAATTTTGTTTTGGTATTTGAAAACTGTGATCTTAATAAAACAAAATAATTAAAATAATTAGAAAATGTGAAGCAAATAAGAAAAGAGTTAAAAATAAACAATAATGTTAGAAAATAAAATTAACTAAAAAAAAATTCACATTACCTTAACTTAATTGTAATATTGATCAAACCATTAAAAAATATTAAAAATTTTGTGTTAAAAGAATTTAAATAAAAATAATATACTTGTAGATAGTTTTGACAATTTAAAATATAATACGATAACACGATACGAAAATAAAACACGAAGGTGACACGACTTAAAATTGTAGTAATAACTATATATGGGTTTAACAAAATAAAAAAAAATTGTATTTTATATTTTCATGTCAACATGAATTATGATAAATAATTTTCGTATAAAACATGGTACAAATACATGAATTTTAATATTTTACATGACACAAATACACGAATCGTCAGATTTACTTGTAGGATTATTAGATGTGGAAATACATATTTCATATTTAATCTATAATCAATGCAAGTTCAATCAATGAAATATTAAAAGATTTTGAAAGTATAAAGTATATAATAAGTGATTTTAATTTGTCTGAATTTAAAAAAAAATACCAAATATTAAAAGATTATAAGGAAATCTATGAAAATATTGAAATTTTCAAATTTAAAAGAGATATATGTATATTATTGGAAATTTTTATTTTAAAAGAAATATATCTAAATTATATTTAATTTGTATGCTTTACATATAATTAATCCAAATATTTAAAGTGATATACATAGAAAAAAGTCAAAAAATTAGTAAAATTATAATGATTTAATCGAAAAATATTTTATATTTAAAAGTTAGCATTTGAATTTTGGATTTGATATATATTGATGATAAGAGTTAGTTAAGATTTTTTGTGCTTTAAATTAAGTTAAAGTTTGTATAAAATTGAAATATTGGATAAACTTAATTTTTAAAATTTTAAAATTATTTGGTAAATAATTAAAATTGAAGAATTATCCTATGTATAGATTGTATATGTAAGTAATCATGCAAAAATGCTTATTTGGTTATATTTTTAAAACTATCTTATATGTCATCAAAATAGATTGTATAAGTAAGATTACATGTGAGCAAATCTTATAAGATATTCTTATATGTTGTAATATAATATTATATATAATTGAATTTTCATTTAAGTCTTAATAAAATTTAATCCATAAATATATTTAAATAATAATTTTATCTATAAATAATATTTAATCAGATAATAATATTTAAACTTTGGTATTTTATACCTTTATCTTCCAAAAAAAAAATCTAATTAGATAATTACTTGATAACTCTAAACTCAAGAAATTCCATCAAAGTGACCAACATGGCTTATTAGAGTTTAAAAGCTATCTAACATAAATTTTCTTTTTATTATTATTTAGTTATGCACTATGATTTCATCTGCATAAATAAATGAAACAAATTATTAAGTTTATTTTTTTATTTATTTTTAAATCATAATAAAAAAGATATTAGCTTAAGTGCGTTCTAATTAAATTTATTATGAATTGAGAAATAAAAAAAGAAATGTTACTACTAATTTGAAAAAAAAAATCTTACCTGATGGAGTGAATAATATGTTTACTAAAAAAAAGCATGTTAGTTCCTATAGCAAACATAAACTAATAAAAATAGAGATTAAATTAATAGTAAGGAAAATACATTTAGCTTATATGTTTTGTAGGACATTAGGAAAGTTATATAACTAAGAACTATCAACAATGAGGGTTTTCCCGAAGTTGTTTTGGTATTTATATTTTTTTTTTCACATTTTCTTAAAATATTAATATTAAAAGTCTATGACAAATATTGATTTAAATTTAAATTTTATTTTGATTCAGATATATCTAAATACATTTTTTAAAGCTAGGGGATTGTTTATTAAAATTATCTTTATCTATAACTAATATATTTAAAAACTAGAGATAATGCAAGGGTTATTTATAAAAAATATTAAAGATATTAAATTATATTTTTAAAAGTTTTGATAAATTTAAATAATCATGTTAAGTGCAAATAAATTTGAAAAGATAAATTATTTTTAAATTGATTTTAAATTGAGATGCGGTAATATACAAGAGAAAGTAATTTCATTAGAATTTAAATTTATTTTTTATTAAATTTTAAAATTTTAGATAATTTAATAATTTTTAAAATATTTTTTTATAAATAAGTTAAAATTAATAAATATTTTATGTGTCAATATAATGAGAAATTTTAAAAATTATCTTATATGTCAAAAAAAGAAACTATCCACGTAGGTGTCCATGCCAGCAAATGTTATCTAGTAATTATATATGTTGTAATATAATACATATATATATATATATGATTGGGAACAACTTATTGAATATATATTAATTTTGGTTAGTAATATCTAAACACAATTTTTTAAATATAAAAAGAGGATACATTTAGAATAAATTAAATATCATCTTTTAAAAATAATTGTATAAACTAATTGAATACAGTAATTTCTTTCCATATGGATATAGGTAGATAACATGTAAGATTTCATGTTCCATCTATATAATTGTGGAACAGGCTTAATTAACCATGAAAATAGGACTCAATGACGTCTTAAATTTTTTGAAGTTTATGCCTCTTTTATACTAAAAAACTTCACCTTGATTTGTATAAAAAATTGACTAGGCAACATTAATTAATTATCCTCAGGATCCTAAGTTATTTCTTCAACAAACTATATATATATATATATATATAGCTATAAGGACATAAAACTTCCCCATTAATTGCATCAACTGATGATGAACCCAACTGCCCAAAATGGAACAGTAGTGGTGAAGGTGAACATGAAAAAAATATCCTCAAACTTTTCCATGAAATGACAATGATGCTCTCCTCGCTGGATTAAGATGAACAGTTAGCTTTTAACCCAAAAGCCAAAAACAAGTTGGCATTTCTTGAAAAATCTAGCATGTTTTTAAGGCCATACTGGACATGGTGCATGCTTTGCAGCCACTGATAGCCGACATGTGAGTCCACAGGATCCACACATAAACTTCACTTGTTAGATGCAAAAGAAGGGATCCCACCTGCTATAAATAAGATAATGCACTTAACCCTCTACCCAGTACCATTGGAGTTTGATAAAGAACCTTCCAAGCTCTTCTCCAAGTATCTTCATTTCCAAAACTCAATACTTAGTTCATCATTTTCAATTGTTTCCTACGAAGTTTCCGATATCTAGACTTTGGGTTTTTGTGACCTACCATGGCACCGCATGGAGAGGCTATTACTAGTACTTACACAAGGAGCAACAACTTCCCCAAGCCACCAAGGCTCTCAAACGACAGCCTCCATCGAACCATATCGGACATCACTTTTCAACTTGTCAGCAAAGAAGTTCTTGATAACTATAAAGAATCAGCTGCAGTTGTAGTGGATGAGAAACAGCTTCCAGCCATATCCGAAGTGGAGGATGCAAAGTGTGAGTGTTGTGGCATGAGTGAAGAGTGCACCCCGGAGTACATCGAGCGTGTCCGAAACAAGTTCTTGGGGAAATGGATATGTGGCTTATGTGCTGAGGCAGTGAAAGAAGAGATGGAGAAAAATGGAGGCAAGATAGAGGAAGCTTTAAGTGCACATATGAATACATGTGCTAGGTTTAACAAGTTTGGGAGGGCTTATCCAGCTTTGTTGACAGCTGAAGCCATGAGGGAGATTTTGAGGAAGAGTTCAAGATTGGAAGGGAAAAGTCTTAGGGCCAAATCTTTTGGCCCTAGGGATAAATCAGGAGCTCAAAAGAAAGGTGGCATCGCTAGGAGTTCGAGTTGCATTCCTGCAATTACAAGGGAGATGAATGATCTCACAGTAGCAAACTGAAGAGTAGTTGGCCCAAAGGCTTCTTTTTCCCTTCATCTCCCCTTCCTCTCCTTTTGAGCCTTCTACTAATTTCATTTCCATGGCCTCTCTTCCATGTACCAAACCTTTTCACTCATCACACCATGAAATTTTTTGGGTTGGGTCCAAAACTCTCTCTTATCCATGAAATCTTCTTAAGGAGTATATTTTTCTATATCCTTAGTTGATTAATTTGTATAATATGGTAATTTGCTCTCTGATCTTGCTTTAGAATTTTCCTTTTTTTTAGGTGGGCGCAAAATTCTTCCTGCTTTTCTCTCTTCTAGGGGTATGTTTCTTAGAACCCAAAACTAAACCACCTTCTAGCTGGCTAGGTAGGGTTTTTTAGGTTGGTTCAATTGCTTCTTTTGCATCCCTTTTTTCCTACCCCCGTAAATTGTGCTGGCTAGAAAGCAATTGTAACTCATTTTCATGTACTAAATACATACGTATCCGGAGATATTGTATGGTATATCAATAAATGACTCCTATTATTTTGAGTATTAGCAATTACTATGATAGTATTTGAAATCTTTTTTTATCTAATGCATGTTTTTTCTCTTTAATAGATAATTTATATTTTATACACTATTAATATATAAATTCTATACATTATCAGTGAATCAGATAATGACACTTTATTAATAAACAAATATAAACTCTTGAAACAAATGTATACAAATTAAATTTTTTAAAAAATTTACTTATTAATAAGGTGGTATCATCTAATCTATCTTATTAATGAGTTATTATCCTTTAATTTATTGATACTATATAAAATTTATATACTAATATTGTATTAAATATAAACTCATTTTGATAAATTTTTTTTGTCTGAAATCGATTGATGAATACTTTTGACTCTCTCACTTTGCATAACTTTGAACTTATACTATTTTTTTTTTATAAAAAATACCTTCAAGGATAGACGAAAAATTATAAATATTAAATTTTGAATTTAAACTTATTAAATGGCACCTTTAGAAAAATTTGTATAAATCAATTGTTTTAAAAAAATAGATGAGATATTCTTTTGTACTTGTAAATCAGTCTTCTAACAATAATATATACATGTTTAATCTTGAGTTTTTTACTTATATGTGAGCTGAGCTTCAGGGGCTTAGCTCCATCCTGTCTGATCATCTTTGGAGCTGTTTCATTTCTAATGCTGATCATAAGATTGCACCAAACTCTGAATGAGGAAAAATGACTTTGTACTTGGATAAAGACATACTTCACTCCCATGGGGAGATCCTTTCGATGGTCTCTTTTCTATCTAGTTGTCTTTAACATATAGTTGATGAATGGCTTCACAACCAATTTTCTTATTACTAGATTTGATGCATGATTGGCTCATAATTTTATCTGGCATCTCTTCTACCATAATCAACAGACAGGAAAACTTGTGAACCGGATGAGCTGAGGCATCATGTTTTAGTTACTGCTTATGCCTAGGAAAATTAGATCCTACCGAATTGTCGGGTCTACGGTCGAAACCAAATCAAGTTCACTCTCAAATCCTGAATACAGTTTTACACGCATTGTCAATCAACTGATTCGGGCATAAGATACCAGTAACATTAGGCAGTCTAAAGTACGGAGGAAAACAAGCCTGAAGAGTTTTACAAGGTCTTTACCGACTAAAGACAAACAAGCCAACAAAATATAAAACATAATTCAAGAGTTGTCTGTCCTTCATGGTCCCAAAGTTCAGACAAAAGACCAATTGATAAACATAAAGCAGATGCAATGAGCATTCTCCTCTTCATTCAACACCTTCCAAGCTACTGCTCTCTCATATGAAACTGGTCTTCCCATGCTTGATAAACAGATCCCACCTTGTAGACAAGCAAAACCCTACCAGGAGAAAAACATGTCAAAACAAAGAATAAAATTCGGTTAAATCTAGTACCTAAAAGTAATATTTTAATACATTTGATATCCATTAATTGGCTTTCGCTTTCAAAGATGTCGTTATTCTAGTTAGAAATGAGAACATAATGATAGACCTGTTGCATGATCTGTGGGAACTCCGTGCAGAGAGTTTTTCGTCCATGATCATCAAATATCTTCTCCAAAGTTATGTCCTGCAGAGCAACCAGGGTTGTCTCCAGCATGTCAAGCCCAGCCTGATTTGCAAAGGTAAATACGGGCAATGCCTGCAAAGAATACTAGTTTTAGATAAAAACAGATTTAAATAAATAAAGGCGAGAATTAGCATTTATAAAATAATGAAAATATAATGGTCAAAAATATAGAAGAGAGGAAGACAAAGGGAATTCAGTCCAACACTAATTTGAGATTCAGTGCTTATGCAAAGAAATGATTCGATGAAAAATTATAACACGAAAACGAAGACTCCACAACTTTATTTTCTTGATAGATTACTAAATTATATCAAGAAGCACTTAGTTTTACTCGGTGTATCTTGAATGTTAACACTCATACAAACACCCTCAGACTAAAATATATAGGTTCAATTTGACATTGTTTCAACCCCACATTACTTCTATAATAGAAAATTTCATATTTTGATAGTACAGATGATAAGACAAAGGAAAGGAAGAAAAGCGAAGGGGGAAGGGAGGTATTAAATACTTCACACATACCTTAAGAGAGCAGCACATGATAGCATCTGAGTGATGCCACAAGGTCTTGAGGATGGATTCACTCCCTTCACCGCTAGATTTGAGCAGTTCAACACCCATGTAGACCCTGCAAAATTAGAGACAAATCATCCCCGGTTCAAAATATAGCAGGTTCCTAGCACAAATGTCCAGCTTATGCAACATTTTTTACATGCATGGGATACGTTAATCCAAGAGCATAAACCAAATTCAATGAGTCAGATTCTTGAATCTATCATTACAATTGCACAAACTTAGAAGATTGACGTTTTCTGGTATGATTGACTTTTTGGAGTCCATAAGTTTCAACTAGCAACATTTGATTGACTTTTGTTCTAAAACATGACATTCACTAGAAAAAGGAAGTTAAGAGTAGACAGATAGATTAAACCCAAAAATTCAAATCCGTAAAAATAAACCCCAGGCAAATTGACAGCAAGTATCTCTTATTTGACAGTGCAAAAGACATCATGTTAATAATCCTCCCTTTCACGGATGAGCCAATAGCCTGTTGGTAGCCACACCTTATCCCTAAAAACCCTTGAGGTTGAATCTCCTTCGCCAACTTAATGTCAAAATAATATAACAGTGAATAAAATCCATCCTGGAAAGAAAGGAGGGCTGATGTACCTATAACCCTGGCAGATCCAACGAGCAAGTGTCTGTGCTTCAGGAGTACCCAGTGGGGTTCGGAGACCAGCATGTGAACTTAGATGAGAAGGAGAAAGTGCTAATGCCACCCTCTGAACCGAAGATATAATGCTGCGGACGTATTGCCTGGCCATGGATGCAACATGTTCTTGCATGTGGCTCTCAAGGGCAAACTCAAATGCTATAGTCATCACAGATCTCATACAGCCAGAATTAGACCAGTAATCATTAGATGCTTTATTTCCAGCTGGCCCAATATCAAGAGCAGAAGCAAGGTCAAGAGTTCGATTTGGACTAGAGGCTTCCTGCATCACTTTACAGTGCTTAATAAGAGACCGCACAAAAGATGCAGAAAAAACTTACAAAAGACCCTGCTTAACATAATAGATAGATGCCAACCTTCCCAGAATCGAGAGGAATGATGCGAAAACCAGAAGGCAGAAGAGGTGCATCATCAGCAAAAGAAGCATCAATGGGAGCAAATATAAGCTCAGCACAGGTGCCCACAGCATTTTCATCCATTCCACTGCATAGCTATAAAACAGTTCCACAGTTAATTATGCAAGAAGACAATACTAAAAAAACAAGGAGAAATGCTATGAAAGGCTAGTAGCAATCTAAATGACTACAATGGTAAATCCCACATCCAACATTTTTATCCAAATGTTAAAATCCCCCACACCAACCACCCTCACACCCTAAAATTGTTAAAACTTCTTAATTAAATGAAATCATAGCATCAGTTGCAAATACACAAATAAACAACTAGAAGTCCAGCTGTTCGACAAGAAATTTGAAAGAGCAGAAAGCGTAAGTAAAAGGGATGTATCTCTTTGCTCAAAGATACTACCATAGAAACATACTGTTATTACAAACCAAAAGAACACATCCATGGAAAAGTCCCACTCACTAAGCCAAACATAACCAAATAACATTGGATTGCCGTTGTCAACCTCTGAACCTTACTTGTGGTGTGAGTTCTGTTTGAGTTCCCTTTCCTCTTGTTCCAAAAAATATAATAAAAAAGAATTGCAATGAAACTCCACAGCAGAAAATAAAACATTATCACAATTTAAGCAGTGTATTACACAATTGTGCAAATAACTCAGGACAGAAGAAAGAGACCTGAAGTTAAAATCAGTCAACACATATTGTAGCAAGAAAAAACCATGAAGTTGATGACAAGCAAAAATAAGAATACTTACTTGCAAGAGAAAAACATCTCTTGGCATTATTGCGTCTTCAGGAGAATTTGCAATTCCCTCCAACTTAATGACCTCTAGGAACTAATAATGACATAAAAAAATATTTGTCAAATGTTAATTAATACATATAAGCAAAAGGCCAAATCATCAATGCAGAAAGTTGAAACTAATGATATGATAACACAAGACATTTTTAATTGCTATAGAATTTAATTTTCTTACCTCTTCATGCTCAATGGTATGTGCCAGGGGTAGTATAACTTGACCGCCAAAACCTCCTACTCTAGACCCTGGTAAGCTACAGGGACCAACTTTAACCGCTGCAGCTGAGTAGGCATCAATGCTGCTGTCTGCCCATTCTGATCTGTGTTCCCGCAGAAAACGGAGAAGGATTGCAGGAGGTACATTCTAAAAGAGAAACAGCAAAGAGCGAAGAGAAAAAAATGAAATTTATTGACCAAGAAAAGAGTATTGATATAATAAAATGGTTTGCAACTATGCAGATAATAATATTCAGACCATGAAAAGAAATTTAATCCTGTAGAGCTAGCAAAGTATTAGATAAAATTGACAAGAGCATTCAGGTGATACAAATTGCTTTTCTCATTAGCTGCAAAACTGTAGATACTAAGACAGGCAACAAGCAACTTTGTTGGGGGGGGGGGGGGGGGCACTTGCATTAAATAAAAGGACACAGGAAAAAAAAGATCAGGAAAATATATAGCCACTTTCAGTTCTAACAAAGATATGAGGCGGGGGAAGGAAAAGCCCTCCAAAGTAAAAAGGCAGCGTCATAGCAACCAGAAAAACATAAGAACAGCAAACTTTATGGAAAGTCCGGAAACAATGTTATATACTTCCCAAAATATTTTCCCCTGAACCATCAAGACAGAAAAGTGCGAAGCATCCACACCTGTAAAAGCATTGATGCTTTAGCACATAAGACTGCATTGCTGACAGATGGAAATCCATTACCAAAGGAAAGATTGAGGCCCATTAGTTTGTCAGGAGATGAGTTCACAAGGATAGTAACATCATCCATGCCATCATTTCCCATCATTGACCACCCC